ATTGTAATTCAATACTTTTAGTACTGGCTTCGTCGGTGAGTCCCACACTTCGTGCGTTTCCCAACGTTAAAAAAATAAAAAAAATAAAAGAAACAGGTGAAAAACTTAAAGTAGAATGTTTATAATATGCTAGAAATTTTGTAAATAGATCAGGCGGTAAACGTTTCCAGCCTACTGAAAAGGATTAAACATAACAAAACATTTCAGTATCAATATTTAAAGTAAATGTTTAAAATGATACTAAAACTGAGTTAGTTAACTGGGTAGTTTTACAAAAAACAACCAAAATTACAACAAACCACCCCACTGGGTTTATTTAATAACTAGCGACTCACCCTCGCTTCGCTCGGGTTCGTCCCTAGCTTATATTAGTATAGATAAATTGATGTATTATATATGAAAAAAAAAACATCTTATAGAAATATCACTCAATAGGTTACGACGCGGTCGCGATTCCATACCTACGTGTATGTCGTATTATCTCTAACCATTTGTCCAAATTATATGCAGTAAAAGGGAAAAGTTTTTTGTTTTAAACATTTTAGACGATAAAACTTATTTTAATACGAATTCATAATTGTTGATAATATGACCAATAAACATGACCTACCGATTTAAATTATTTTTTAATATAATAAACTACTTTTTGTGACTTAAATATAAAAGTTAGACATATGCGGTCGCTGATTTTTTTGTAGGCATTATTAAGCTCTACAACTTTTCCCTAGAACATAATCATATATCTCTCATCGTTAAGGCAGCGTTCGTAAGAAACGTTTTCGTTCGACCGTTTTTTCTCCGACTTACTTTGCAAATCCGCCTACCATGAAAAAGTCTTTTCATTCTTCGGGTTAATATATAGCCTATGACGCTCAGAAACAACGTGGCTTTCAATTGGTGAAAGAATTTTGAAAATCGGTTTAGTAGATCCAGAGATTACCCCCTACAACATCACAAACTCACAATATCACAAACTACCTCTTTAAAATATTAGTATAGATGCAGTATTAAATAAATCTTTGTTCACCGTGTCGTCGCGTAGGTATAAAATATAAATAATCCCTTAAACATTGTCGCTTAGTGGATATACTGAAATAACAATAGACATTTTCTTTCTGCTTTATAATATCACCTAGTATACTAAGATATTTTAAACATTTACTTATATAGGAGAAACCCATTTTAGGGCCCTATTGAATTACTATCAAATATATATCAAAAAAATCCAATTTTTTTTGCTTATCCCTGTAAAATCTTAATTTTATTGGTAATGGCCAAGTGAAGAAAATTGCAAAAAAACTCCTACTAACGTCTCAATTTCCGTATTTATTTTATAAAACGTCAATTTTTGTGTCTATAGTGCCATAAACGTATTTCAAGTCATTTGTCAATCATAGCTTCATGTGCTTACTTGGTCGTATATTTTTGTAGTAATTAAGCTAAATTATATTTTAAGAAAAAAAAAATTAAAAACAAACCGAACACCTAAAATCCAATTCATGTTCAACGCAGACTGCAAAATATTAAGTTAAAATACAAAACTATTATTTACTCCTAAAATAATAAAGACCTCCATCGTCAACAAATGTCAATATACAAATATGTCATTCGCTTTTCGTAGTAGTTGGTACAGAAATGAGTGTGTTTTAACCGTTTTTTCGATTTTTTGTATCTCTGATCGCATCCCAGGTACTGATATTGATTGCTTTCTGACTGCCTATTCCTTGGACATTGGACACTGTATCTACTATCCTTGTTCTGTATCTTGCCTTAATGATGACTGAATATCGACGTCAAAAACCTAAATAATAATTAAGCAATGTCAACGAACCGCTTTAACATAATAAGGATATACTTTTTGGAAGATAAACAAATACTTTCCATCGTAAGGCAATTGATTGCGCCTCAATCTGTACGCTTTGTTTTATTTTGTGCTGTGATTTTAGTATAGTAAACTGATGATGATGAGTATTAAATAAATTATAACATCTAGCATCTTTTTTATTTCTCCATGTATTGTGCCAAGAAGCCTGATAAGCAGGTATGGTAGACAACATTTATGTATATATTTAGGGTGAACGGGTCTTTTACGCTCAAACTATAGATTAAAATACAGACCATAATCAGTTAGATACGTTTGATCTTATTACTTACAAGAATAAAAATACTTGTTTATCTGAAAGCTTCACCTAATGTTATGGAAATATCTGTTTGATATTGGCTAATGTTGAGAATCGTATTTGATTTTATAATTATAATATTTTTTGCCTTCCACAATTTATATTGTTCTGCATAATATATATTATTTGTGAAAAGGAATTAACATTATCAATTTACATGTCCGAATTGATCGATTGATGTTATCAGCTCCTAACTGTTATCTTTACCACTATAATATTTCGATATGACTATACTTTTAGTGTAGAATTACATCAAGGTAACATATTATTTGTATTAATTTTAAACTAGGCTCATAAAAGGTAATTCGTCATTATATTAAAACCAAATAAAGAAACTATAGTAAATAAATGAGACTGTTCTGTGAGAATCCCGTAGACAATCGTCGAGACTGGACCCTATTTACATACTTACAAATCTACGATGTCTATCTTTTCGTCTGTTTTAATTTTGCTGGATTGTATATTTTAAGCTATTATAGATACCTCGATTTTTTCACAGTATATGTGTAATTATATATTAGGTATTTTCACTTAAACTCCATTTAAAATTTTAGATCTATCCGAGTATGATTAGTATAATTTGGGCAACTAAACAAACATTTCACTAAACATGTCTAATATCAGATAACAGAGTATCGATGCTCATCCATATTTTTATGAATTGCCTAAAGCGCACATTTAACAATACTTTTCCATAGCTTAATGGAAACAATAGCGTCTCAACCCAATATCTAGCAGTTTTGAATTATTTATATGAAATAGTTTTGAGAAAAACAGTATGACTTATTCGCACAAACGGAGATAAATTTAAAATTTCTATTAAGCTATCATTTTTTGTTATATGTATATGGAAAACTGAAACTGCAACTGAAATGAATTTATATTTACCATGTTTCATGTTTTGTTGACTTTAAAAAAGGACTAGATTCTCAATACAGGAGTATTTTACGAATTGGTTATACGAGTACGTCTCAATGAATTTCAACTAAATATTACACTTAGATCTACATATTTTGTAGTATGAGAAGCTCAACTGTCTCTTTATATAACTTAACCAATTGAGAAGAAACTTAGTAATAGTTTAAAGTCTGAAACCTTCTAAAACTCATTCTGTAAATAAAACTCAGCGATTCTTATGCACTAAATTTTGTTGTATCTGCTTCGTTCCTAATAAGCCTTTTATAAAAATTGTTCTGTAAATGAAGCTCGAAGTTTATTAGAAGTTGGTAGCTATAAATAGACTAGTGAGAGATCGGTGTCAGATTAGGAAAATAATCATATTTTAACAAGTTAGTAAGTCCTATGTTTGAATGAACGGAATCGTGGTTGGGCGAACCACTTTTTTTTTCTGTCAGGAAAAACCCTGTTCCCGGGTACGCTCGCCAATGGGGGATGCGAGACGGGTTATGTGGGGCTCCTGACGCGCAAAAAAGGTGAGCACGCGGCAGCCTACCCACTAAAAAACCTGACAAAGCACCTCCTTCGCCTTAAGGCCGGGGCCACGGGTACCAAAAAGACTCTTCCGTGACCCCGACGGCGAGTGCCTGTTAAGGCCCGTCCCAAGGTCAGGTGCTGAGATGTTCGACCACCCCTGACAGCCTCCTCCGCCAGAACACTGGACGGCCAACCTCCCCAAGTCGACCGCCTTCTGGCACCTTCACCCCCACCGAAGTGGGCCACCTCACATCCGGCTGCAGAGGACAGGAAGAACGGCAACGACACACCGACACTCCTCTTCCCCTGCAGCCCCACCGCGTCCGCCATCTAACGGTGGCGGCCCCGCCGAGGCCGCGGAAGGCAGGGAGAGCGGCGCACCATAATACCGGCACTCCTCTCCCGCCGCGGCCCCTCCCCTGCCGGTCGCAGGCCTGTCACCACAGTCCCGTAACCGGCACCCCCCGATCCGATTACGGGACCGCCAAAGCGGTCCCACCACCGGTGGCCGCAACGTCTTCGGCCAAACCTTTCGGCTCAAGGCCTCGACGAGCGGCCCCCATCAAGCCATTTGGTCCGCGCCGGATTTCTCCGGTACCACCCGCCCCTCTAAGCGGGTGGCATTCCCCTATCCGCCACCTGGGGACGCGCCCGGTAGGAGTTGGCTTTTTCCCCGGGGGCGAACCACTTCCTACATCTACGCTATTCAAGTCGGAAGTCTTTATTCTCGTGGGATAAAGCATAAAGTTATAAATAACAACTGATCTTCCACTAAACGGTAGACTACCAACGTCGTTACAACAACAAGTTGTTATCCAGCTGCTAACTTGAATTAGATATACATCAATAATTGGATGCGTATTCCAATTACAGTTAAAAAATAAACTTGGAAATATCATTCAATCAGATCAATTAGAATCAGTATTATACGTACTAAGAATTCTACTTAAAATAAATTAATCATTATACATGATATAGCACCACAGGCATAACCTAAAAATAAAAAATAAAACAAATCATACATGAAAATATATATAAATCATCTTATACATGGTCATTTTTGATTTCACGGCAGCGATACTTGATAAATAAGAAAGTAATTTTTATAGACCATTAACAACTTGTCCTCGCTTCTTTCAAACCTGAACTATTTACATATTCCAGGGTGTCCTACATTTTTATGACTATAAAAAAATGACCCTCGAAAAACATATAATGTACCAGCAAAAAAAATATATCTTAAATATTTTCCTTATGTATTCGTTCGACCTTCTTATTTATATAAAATCGCCCCACATAATTTTTGGTCTGTCACAAATTATACAATCAATATTTTTTATATTAAGCATTACAGAACAAATAAGTTAACGTTAATATATATTGCAGGCAGGAGTTGAAATGACGTGGGTGGTCGCAGAACACACAGCCGGGGGCGCCGGCGAAGTGTCTGTAGCGAAGGGGCAGCAGGTGGAGGTGCTGGAGGCGTGGGCCGTGCGCGCCGACTGGTGGCTGGTGCGCGTGCCGGGCGAACCCCCGCAAGAGGGCGCCGTACCCGCCGCTGTTCTCAAACCGCAGCCACATCAGAAGACTTCACCTTCCCGACGCCCACTTAGTCAACCATCTGAAGAAGCTATAGGTAAGCTTACTTTTATAAATAATGAGCTTAGCTTACTGACTCATGTCCATGGCGGCAGGCGGCAGCCCTTACTTCCTCTAGACTAAAACAAATCTTAAATGTTGAGCCAAGGAAATAAATAATAATTACATAATGTTGTATACCGGTATAATCATAAGAACAAGCGTCTAATACAGAGTTTATGAAAATTGTTTAACTTCAACTGATGAAGAAAATATTGATGATGATTAATTTCCGATTCTAATTAATTCTTATGTTTTATAGTCATATATCAAATATTCCTTATAAATGGTGCTAACAGCCTTACCTTTGAATTAGGTTCTAGTTCATTTCTATACTCGGCCTATATTCAATTAATCTTGGGTCGTCGTGATAGCGGAGAATTTTTACATAAACATGTAAAAATTGCATATATCTATTGATTTATAAAAAATCAATAAAATCTACAGCTTAAACCTCAGAATTGTCTGTATAGGTGAAATATTTATTGTAAAAAATAAAAAAAAAATTGATACCTAGAGATCTATTCAACGTGTTATAGGTATAAATATTAAAGTATCAGTGTCGTCATCGACGTTAAATGTCTTGTTTATGCTATAGCGCTTCAGCGCTATAGAACGGGTATTATGTAAAAGACTGAAAGCTGCATCTATAATTCTTCTCAATCAATTAAAGTCAAACTTATATTTTTCTAGTCGAATCCGAAATCGAAGACTACTTACTAACGACGACTATAATCAATACGTCCACGACCATTCCATACTAATATTATAAAGAGGTAAATTTTGTGAATTTGTGACGTTGTAAGGGGTATAATCTCTGGATCTACTGAACCGATTCAGATGATATCACCCCTTAAGGGGGTGAAAATGGGGATGAAAGTTTGTATTGGGAAGCAAAATAATATCCTAGATTTCTTCCTAATTTTTGGGTATAACCACAGATTACATTACACTTATATTACTTACATCCGTACTAAAACTTGATATATTATACTAGATGCATGAAATGCACACAAAGTTTATTTAAATGTAAGTTAACGATAAGTGATAACTAATATAAGTGATAACTAAATCAGAATTTAATGTCCCGTATCGAAGTTAATAACGACTTACAATCTACAATTTTATATTATAACTCCGGAATGAAGTCAGTTTTGTAAAATAAAAATCTATATCATCTGTTTTAGCACGTAAAGCCGTCGGTTCTGCCTGATCTTTGACTATTCGTATCGGATTGCATTCCAATAGGATTATAACAGAGAATGGAATAGAAAAGGTACCTTTATGTGCGCATATATTTTATAGACTATAATATCTCCTGCGTAGGTGACGGAAATTCGGTTCAGAGGAAAACAACGCTAAAGGAATTCCTCAATTAGGCAACTTTTAATTTTATTTAATGACATTTAAGGCGGTAATTCTAAATTTTTTATAAAATAGGTCTTTTATAAATTTAGTAGTGATATAAATAAAATATTGTGTTAAAATAAATGTATACAGTCAAAAGGCGAAAGCAAAACCAATGCCAATAATTAAATACATATTAGATATACATACCTATACATGAGCTGGTTGCCGAGAGCCCTCGGGAGCGCCGCCAAGTACGAGTCGTCAGTGTTAGCCCAAAAGACTATCGCTTGCTTATATATTTAAGATTGAGTAAATTGTATTTGAATGAATTGGCACCCATACAATTGTATATAAATTTCAATTTCATATCAAGACTATAAGTAATTGATAAATTGAATACAGTATTCGAAAATAGCAGGTTTATATACACTTTAAAATTTACATACACTCACTCACTACTTTGTCTAGACGTATACTCGTTTTAATTCCCGGCCGGTTTAATTCCCTACTAATAATAATAATTATACTCGGCGTTGTCCGAAGAGACTAGATCTGACGCGTATTAATTATATATGTAGTTACGTGTAGTGATCGCTATTCGTTTGCACTATCTTGAGATACCTTACTTTTATTTTATTTTTGATATTTATTTTTTGTGGGTAATCACAACTTACTCGGTTACTGCCATTCCCTTATTCGTCATTAGCGTTTTAGTGCTCAGGTATTCCGTACACTCTAAAGTAAATTTATCTGTAGTAAATAAATATATTATTTAAGATGCCTAAAAGAAAGTATAAGGTATTAAAGTTTGAAAATTTACATGAGACATTAAAATTTCTCCAAGAAGAAATTCATTGTAATTGTGAAGTGAAACGAAAACGTGTTCGTGTCTTATCCAGCTCCTCGTGTGAATCGTCATCTGAATGACTGTCGGAACTGAAAGGTTGGTATATTTACTAATTAAACATATATACTATTGTTCACGATTTAGTTCTAACCATACATACGATCGCGAGAACTTGCTAATGAAAATTGCTTAGGTATTATGGGCAGCTTTTGGGGCTGTCTCGTGCCAACTTATAGTGTTGTGGGTAGCTTTTGAGGCTATCTCTTCACTATCACCGCTCACCTAATTACCTTATTTTTAGGTATGAGCATGCAATTTTTTAGCATTATAGGGATCTTATGTTGCGGGTAACTTGAGGGGCTATCTCTTCATTATATCATTTCTAACTTAACATTGAGTTGACATTTATAAAATTTTTGTTATCACGCATTGATCACACGGTGGTTAGGAAATTTTGAACTATTTCTTATATATCCTCTGGTATATTGAAAGATGATCGTAAGGAGTTTTTAAATAAACTTTTGGTTCCCAGTAATTGGGGCTTACTTCTGCACAGTCCTTGAATCCAGAAACGAAGGTCGTGCTATAAGAGATGGTTATCATCCGAGATATGGCCATAGAATTGAAACAGACCGTAATGGATTGTTTCAAGCCTCGCCGAAGATATCATGAGGGTTCTATCTTTAAAAAAGATAAAAATACCGATGTGTTACTCTTGTATATAATAATAATAATAATGTCCTCCTGACCAACTCCGAGTACGGCGGCCAATTTCATTGAGACTAGCCAATTGCGCAGGAGATATTATAGTGCACAAGTGTACGCTCAGACACAAGTGCCCTCTCTATTCCTGTTACTCTCATACTCCGGTGGGACGAGTACTCGACACGACCGGTAAGAGTTAAGGCGTGTGCGTGGCGTTACGTGCCCTCCGAGGCATGGGTGTGAAACACCGATAACTTCCCAACTCCGGGCTGTTACTGAGGCTTACTATACAGAAAGACTCAATAACTAAACTTGGCCCGACCCTTATAATATACGTGTATATAATTACCGATCTGTACGTTACGGACGTACGTCATGGATGCTAGACGCTGATTCTGGTGAAAAGCTAAAAATTTTGGCACCCACGCCTTCGAAGAGTAAGCCGCCTGGCCGCCCTCGTTGAAGTCGAAGGATACAACGTCAACGATGATGCGACATTTGCACGCAGTCTTCCCCAAACAGTTGCTGAATTCGCGTGTCGCTCATGCGAACAGCCCACAGTAGCGCCACTAGCAGCAGAAAAACTTTTGCAAAGATAAATATTCTTAATATTTCTATTATTTAATCTTATATTTACATAAGGTTTAATTAAAACATTGAAAGTTGTTTTTTTTGATTTTACAATTTTATAATGAAAATCCGGAGATACATATGTCATGCAAGAACTTTGCAATGTTATTTTTCGAAAACAAAACCTCTTCATAGGGAGGTTAAGACTCTATTTCTAGGTATTAAATATCCCGATACGTCTCCAGCCAGACATTGAGGCGTTAGATCAGAAACACGCGCATGACAGAGGCATGCGGAGGCACGCCTCCGTCACTCGCGCTGACTCTCAGGAGTCAGCCTTGATCTTATAAAAAATACTGCTGGCTGGAGCTGGCTAATTGTAATACCTTTTTTGGTTAAGTTTTATAATAGGCCTTTAAATACTTGCATTGCAAGTGGTGAATCTTTCGCCCATTCTTTAACTATCATAAGCCTTCTTAAAACTAAATTGTGTAATTTCTCTTGAAAATTGGTTTTTCTTTTTACCTGCTCATACGCTGTGAGAGAAGTCGTCAATATTTCACAAAAAGCTCTAAAGGTCTACGAGGTCAGATCTAGTCTCTTCGGACAAGCCGAGCATAATTATGATAGAACTTCACTTACAGGTAAGTTCGTTTAATCACAAATTATTATTGATGTGGCGTTTTAATTATATTAATAGAAAGCTAATTTTATAATCTAAGTTCCAATTTAGTTATTTTTCTTACCAAAAATCCCAAACATGAACAGATAAATATCAAACTCATGTTAACATAAAATTAAAAAAAATCTCAATCAATTTGATAAGTGGAAAGAAAAAAATGTAATAATTATATCGTTAATTAACAATTAACGATATAATAAACGACGATAATGATATAATACGATTAAATAAGAGTTGTCCCATGTTTCTTGTCTTATTTGTTTTCGTTACAGTTAGCGTAAGTTAAAACAACGTTAAAATGTTGAAGTGGGGGAGGGGGATGTTGTGAATGAAATTTAAAAGCACATAACTCAGGAACTAATGCCGTAGAACGTCTGTTTAAAAAATCACGCCCATCCACACTATTGTACACTGACATTGTTTTTCACCCTTCAGTTAGTATGAGTGCCATCCTTTGTTTTCCTAATTTGACTTTTAGTGGCAAAAAAAGTTAATAATTTCTGTAATATATATCCTCAAGGAAAATTACTAGTGTGGAAATACATCGCCTTGTCCAAAATCTGTATCAGTGTCAAATGGAAGGATGCGAATTCCCGCGTGTAGAGCTCTACTATTACGCATTTCCTGTTCAATGTTCATTTACAATCGGTGCTATGATGGTTCAAGTCTCGTGTACTGCATAAAATTATAAACTAGACATTCTATTTATATACACAATCGTTTTAGACATGCATTAAAGTAGTATTACTTTAATCGACTAACAGTAACTGGTATTTTAGCTATATATGTATGTATGTATAGTTTATTTTGCATATTTTCAATATATCATAAATAAATATACAAT